CCCTTCCTCTCCCCGTCCTGTCTTTTCTCTGGTGCCACCAACAGAAGAACTCATGTAAAACATGCTGGGCCGGGGGCACCTGGGGGGCTCAGATGGTTAAGCGACTGCCTTCGGCTCAGTTCATGATCCCAGGTCCTGGGATCGAGCCCCGGGTCGGGCTCCCGGCTCAGTGGGGAGTCTGCTTCTCCCTCTGCCACTTCCCCTGCTTGTGCTCTCTCTCTCTCTCAAATGAGTAAATAAAATTAAAAATAATAATAAAATAAAATATGCCAGGTCGCTTCCCGGCTTGCCCGCCGCTCATGTGAGGCTCAGACCCCTTCCTTTGCCTGCATTGGTGCTCACCACATTCAGTGGGCATCAGGATCACCCGCAATGCTGGCTGAACACGCATTGCTGGGCTCCAGCCCCAAAGCTTCTGTCCCCTAGGTCTGGGGGTGGGGGAGAGGGCCAAGAATCTGTGTGTCTAACGAGTGCTCAGGTGATGCTGGTTCAGAGAGCATGCTCTAGAACCCTCTCCTCGGTCCTCCTCAACAAGCCCTGTCCAGCTTTCAAGAGCTAGTTCAAGTTCCCCCGTCCATGTGGCAGTCTCTTCCAATGGCCAGTATTGATCTCCCTCTGTTCTTCCAGACCACCCCTAGCACTGACCATGTGCTGGTGGTCTGGAAAAGGGGAGAGAGCCCTCAGGGACCGTGGGCTGGGCAATGTGACACTGTACCACTCCCTGCCTTCCTAGCGGCTCTTACGGGCAGAGTCTGGGAGGAGCACTTCTTTGGCAGCCCTACTTACGCAGGAGGTCTTCTGAATGTCCCAGGTAAACGGAACCTTTTCCTTCACACACAGACTTCTAATTATTCACTCACGCATTCACTGTCAGTCAAAAAAAAAACAGTGAGCACCTACTGTATGTCCGGGTGCACAAAATGAAAATCTCTTTTCTCTACAGAAACCAAGAATTACAATAGCATTAAGTTACCAGAGAAGGGGCGCCTGGGTGGTTCAGCCGTTAAGCGTCTGCCTTCGGCTCAGGTCATGATCCCGGGGTCCTGGGATCGAGCCCCGC